TAAATAAGAGGATGGAAATGGAATGAAAAGAAAATGGGAAGTGAGTTGGAGCGCTATGAACTCGCTGCGGCAAGAAATTGATGACACTTTTCAATTGTTGAACCCAGTGCACTTTAACTTACATTTTAAGCTACTCTAGTACTTTGGCACGCTCCAACTCAGCTTGGGGTAGTTGAAGCAGCGTTCTCGCGCTCATCCATTGCTGGTTTAAGTGAAAAAAAAAAGCAGTTTAATAGCTGCCGTGGTCTAGGTCAAATTCAAATCGCCCTTAATCATCGCTTTGAGCGTTTCGAGCTCGGGCCTATATTCACGGCACCATTAGTGTTCTTCAGAGTCAAAGATCCGGCGTATTCTACTTCACTGATTACGGAGTTTGATATCAGCTGCAGTTCGTTTGTGTGGAAAGAGGCTGGGCTCACAGCCTTCACCCTCGGTATGTCTACTTCTTCTCTCAAACTAATCGTAAGCCTCGCTCCCTGAGTACAGCTACTGCAGAGTATAGAAATCAACGTAATTTTCTTTTCAAAGTAACGCCAATACTTTGACGACATTGCGAGTTTATGTTTTTCAGTCTGTAGGACTGGCGCAATTTAGTGAACTTGATTTTTCGAACTCTGAGCAGGCCGCACCATAATGTACACTGTTCAGAGCTCGAAGAAGAAACGAGTCAGAGATAAAGTCGACGGTTTTAATAATTTATAGGAGCCCACGTAATGCAGTGGAAACTCATCACGAACAAAAGTGTTAGGTTGTTGTGATATAAATGTCTGGACCCCGCTGGATAGCTCTGATTCTTCAGAGATACTTGTGTATTTATTCGGAAGAAGACATCTAAATGTATAGAAGTGACCCCTCTTTGACCATATCATTTGTTTTATATGATTTGTTTCTTTGAAGTATGATAGCCCGGAACTTGTGGGTGTGCACTGAATGTTCTGCAACATCTCAAAGGCAGAATTCACGATGAAAAGTTAGCTCATTGGAAATAAGGGTAGAGGTGGTCAGTGGAGCAGGGATGAAGAAGAAACCATTTGAAACGGCCCGAAACCCGAGAAATGGGACCCCTTCCTTGCCCGTTGATTTGCGCATTGATGCGACTCTCATCGCTGTGCCCTCTTCAACACTACGCTCTCTCTGCTATCTAATCACTCGCCACGTATAGACCTGCGGCGAGTGATTAGATAGTGGGCGTACCCCGCCAACCGCGCCAAGAGTGAGCCATGCTAGATCGCCGAGGTCAAATCTTTCGCTGCCAATTGCGCGTCGGTCAGCACCCTCAGGAGGTCCGCTTGTCTCCCGTTTTTCCTTCCTAGGCCTTCGTTCTTATCGCAAATTCCTTCTTCAAGGAGCTACTCCGACTCATAAAGTTACGGCGGGCTTTTGCGAGAAAATAAAAACTGAGTTCTCCGTTGAATAGCTCCTGTTACACTACGCTGTGTGCTGCTTATCAGTGGACGCGACACGTTGTGAAAGAGAAACAATCCCTAGACTACGGAAACTCTGATTCCGGGAGTCTAGCCATAAGTTTACTTATACTTATACGGCTCGTCCTCAGTTCATCTGCGAGCACCAGCAACAAACCATTCGTTTCGTTCTTTCGCAATCGCCATCCATGGTTGTTGTAGAAGTCGGCGGAGACGGCGATCTGAAGCATCGTTCAGCTGCATTCGCAGCTGCTTTATGTGATTGACGAGTGCATCTCCCTATCTTGCAGCAGGTCCCTCTTTGGACCGCGAAGATCCTACGGGAGCCCACTCTCCTGCTCTTCCATCTGTCATTTGCTCTCCTCATGATATGACCGGCCCATCGTAGCTTGGCGTTCGCCATGTACTCCACAGGATCTCGGAGACGAGACATTCTGCGTAGGTCTGCGCTGCTGAGTCAGGCCTGCTTAGCACGAGTTGAGATGAGATCTTGTGAATAGTTTAGGTGCCATCTTCGTCGTTCCCTGGATGTCCGCGCTGTCCGACGAATACGGTCGTAGACCAATAGTGCTTTTATGCTTATTTGTCGCGTAAGTACACTTAGTACTAAACTTCTTGATTTTGCTGCGTTTGCAAGGTCAAATTCTAGAGTCCCTTTTACCGAATCATATCCCATTC